ACATTGAAGCTGTGGGTACAGCAGGAGGCTGGGGTAGAGTGAGAGCCTGAGAGCTCGGCTCTAGGTCAGTTAGAATTAAGGGGGTCCTGAAGAAGAATAGAGGGGATAAAAGAGATGGGAAGGGAGTGAGTAAAGGGAAGTGCTGAGATTTTTGTGAATGCAAAACTGGGCTATGTAAGCAAAAAGATTGTCCTTGAAAGAGGTGGAGAAAATTATAAGGCTCTCAAATCACTTTATGAGCATTCGCATTCTAAGTTGATATTTCTTTTTTTTTTTTAACTGAAGTTCTTCAAGCAAGGAAAATATACTCCCCTCCCTGCTGATTGCCCGAGTAGTGAAATCCCCAGACAAAGTGGCTTTTGGTGCCCAACTCATACTTTCTCACGGTCATTAAGCACTGGCCCAGTCATACCCTCATGAAGTGAGTTCCCTAATCACATAGCTGTCTCCATTAGGAAGAAATATTGGACAATATGTAGGCATCATAATGAAGATTAATTTTTTTCTGGAGCAGACCATATTCATACAAAACTTCCAGTTTTGTTGGCATTGTCCACTTTGTCCACCTGTCAGATGAAGTTTGAAAAAGCATCTTTCCAATTCAGCTTCCCCTAACTGTATCCTTCATCACTCTCCATATGCCATCCTCCCTCCTAGGAAATGGATTCTAATGTGTTTAAGATTCCATAAAGGAACAAAGGCCATAAAATCCACTGCTAAATTTCAAATCCCAACTCTACCAGTAACCAGCTACCTGAGTGACCTTAGTTGCGTTATTCCATGTCATTCAACCTCAGTTTCTTCATTTGTAAAATGGGAGCATTGATAGGTGTCCCACCTCTTAGTTTTATTAATGATGATTAAATTATATGTAAAGTGTTTAGCACAGTGCCTCATTCAAACCAAGCATTCAATAATTTCATGATAATTGTAGAACAAGGTAAAAATCATTGAAGCTAAAGAATAAAACTTTTTCACTGAATATGCTTCTCCTAAGTAAACATCCATCATGTGCATTTTGTCTCCTTTTATTAAATTCTATGAGACAAATTGAACTTAACAGAAAGTTGGCTTCATAGATTAAGAATTCTCCCATTGACCACGTCACCATTTTGTCTTCTTGGATTCTGCAGTATTTAAGTTTCTTCTTTGTTTATACTTAAGAGACGCTCTACTAAATTCAGAGCTATGTTTTCCAGACTGGATTTTAAATACATGCAGTTTTGCTTGACTGATGGATCTTTAGGATCAGGAAGAAAAAGAAAAACCTAAAATTGAGACCTTAGGCTGAAGCAAAAGAAAAAAATCTATGCAGGAACATTAAAAATTATCCATCCAGCCTGCTCCTTTTTCAGATAAGAAAACTGAGGCCTAAAGGAACAATATGACTGTTCAAAAGCTACTCAGTCAAATATACCTAAAGCTGTTACTAGATACCAGTGGAAGAAGAAACAGAGGCTTGAAAGTGAAGAAAGAAATGAAAGAAAGTGAAAATCAAGATGTTCTACAACCTGTCTACAAGTAGTGAGGAGGGACGTTTACACTTTTGTCGAGAAGACAGAGTAAAGTATTGTGATGACATGTGCAAAGACCTGGGGATAGAAAACCAAAAGGGAAGAACACACTCAGCATTTCTCAAGCTGAAACAACAGAAGAGAAGAGTCAAGCCTTGAGTTGCAATACTAAAGGATTCTATAGGGAAAATATTAAATGACACAGGAAGCATCAAAAGAAGATGGAAGGAATACTCAGAGTCACTATACCAAAAAGAAGTGGTCGACATTCAACCATTTCAGAAGGTAACATATGATCAGAAACTGATGGTATTGAAGGACAAAGTCCAACCTGCACTGAAGGCATGGGTGAAAAACAAGGCTCCAGGAATTGATGGAATATCAGTTGAGATGTTTCAACAAACAGATGCAGTGATAGAAGTGCTCACTTGTCTATGCCAAGAAATTTGGAAGACAGCTACCTGGCCAGCTGACTGGAAGAGATCCATATTTATGCCTCTTCCCAAGAAAGGTGATCCAACTGAATGCGGAAATTATCGAACAATGTCATTAATATCACACGCAAGCAAAATTTTGCTGAAGATAATTCAAAAGCGGCTGCAGCAGCATATCAACAGGGAACTGCCAGAAATTCAAGCCCGATTTAGAAGAGGACCTGGAACCAGGGATATCATTGCTGATGTCAGATGGATCCTGGCTGAAAGCAAAAAATACCAGAAAGATGTTTACCTGTGTTTCATTGACTATGCTAAGGCATTCGACTATGTGGATCGTAACAAATTATGGATAACATTTCCGAGAATGGGAATTCCAGAACACTTAATTGTGCTTATAAGGAATCTGTACATGGATCAAAAGGCAGTCATTCAAACAGAACAAGGGGCTATTGCATGCTTTAAAGTCAGGAAAGGTGTGTGTCAGGCTTGTATCCTTTCACCATACCTGTTCAATCTGTATGCTGAGCAAATAATCCAAGAAGCTGGACTATATGAAGAAGAACGGGGCATCAGGATTGGAGGAAGACTCATTAACAACCTGTGATATGCAGATGACACAACCTTGCTTGCTGAAAGTGAAGAGGACTTGAAGCACTTACTGATGAAAATCAAAGACCACAGCCTTCAGTATGGATTATACCTCAACATAAAGAAAGCAAAAATCCTCACAACTAGACCAATAAGCAAGATCATGATAAACAGAGAAAAGATTGAGGTTGTCAAGGATTTCATTTTACTTGGATCCACAATCAACACCCATGGAAGCAGCACTCAAGAAATCAAAAGACACATTGCATTGGGCAAATCTGTTGCAAAAGATCTCTTTAAAGTGTTGAAAAGCGAACATGTCACCTTGAGGACTAAGGTGGGCCTGACCCAAGCCATAGTGTTTTCAGTTACCTCATATGCATGTAAAAGCTGGACAGTTAATAAGGAAGACTGAAGAAGAACTGATGCCTTTGAACTGTGGTGTTGGCAAAGAATATTGAATACACTATGGGCTGCCAAAAGAATATGTCTTGGAAGAAGTACAGCCAGAATCCTCGTCAGAAGCAAGGATGGCCAGACTACGTCTCACATACTTTGAACATGGTATCAGGAGGGATCAGTCCCTGGAGAAGGATATCATGCTTGGTAAAGCACAGGGTCGGTGAAAAAGAGGAAGACCTTCGATGAGATGGATTGACACAGTGGCTGCCACAATGGACTCAAGCATAGCAGCAATTGTGAGGATGGCTCAGGACCAGGCAGTGTTTTGTTCTGTTGTACATAGGGTCACTATGAGTTGGAACTGACCCGATAGCACCTAACAACAGTTTTTAAAGCACCTTTACTAAGTTCTACTGGAAGTCTGGAGAACTGAGAATAAAGAGCTTTGGACTGGGAGTTGTATATCCCTTTATTGATCACTATGGCAGTACTATATCTATCACATTTATGACAACTACTTTAATCCTTGGTATTTTTTCTTTTGGAAATTAAGTAGTTGGTAAAATAATCCCTAAGATTGTTCTAGCTTTAAGATTCCATGCGTTTGTTATTCTGCTCTGTAATAGTCACTGTACAAGATATAAGGAAGGCCAAAATCCAATTCCTGCCTTGTATAAATCAACGGATAAGATTTCAGTAGGTAGAGAAGATGGAAAATGGTGTTTTAGACATAGGGACACAACTTAAGAGGGCAAAAATCAGATTTAAAAATGAGCAATGCTGACAGAGACTGGAGAATCCCTGAGAGTATGGCCCCCAGCCACCCTTGTAGCTCAGTAATGAAGTCACTCTCGAGGTTCACCCTTCAACCAAAGATTACACAGGTCCATAAAACAAAACGAGGCTAAAGGGGCACTGTGCCCAGGGGCAAGTACTAGAAGGCAGGAGGGGACAGGAAAGATGGTAATAGGAAACCCAAGGCAGAGAAGCGAGAGTGTTGACATGTCGTGGGTTTGTTTACCAATGTCACAAAACAGTATGTGTACTATTTAATGAGAAGCTAGTTTGTTCTGTAAACCTTCATCTAAAGTATAATAAAAAAAATTTTTTTTGGATAAAAAAAATGAGCGATGACTTAAATAAGTTTGTAGGTGAGTCTGGCTACCATAAAAGAATAATTAGCAATATTGTTAGAAAGCTAGATTAGACTGGGGACTGTGGAGGTCCCTGGATGTCAAGCAGTTAGGAGCCCTTAGGGGAACTGAGGAGCCGTAGTGACACAGATGGTTAAGCACTGGGCTTCTTCCAAAAGGTTGGTGTTTCAAACCCATGCAGTCACTCCACTGGAGAAAGACCTCGTGATCTGCTTCCATCTGTAAAGATTACAGCCTAAAAAATCCTTGGGACAGCTCTACTCTGTCACAGGGGGCCATTATGAGTCGAAATCAGCAGGGGAGTGTACTGTAATATCAAAAGGCATAATTAAGGACAAATGTCTCAGAATCACTGGCCAAAAGTTGGCAAAGCCAATATTTTGTATATTTGGGATTCCCATTTACAATACACATTTCCAGTATTCAAGAGGGAAGAAACTGTCACTTCATAACTATTTGGGCTATGTCTATATAACACCACATCAACAAATAAAGGAAATATTCAGGTAAACCAATTTTAATATGGATTATTTTAATGAATTACAATTTATTTTTTTAATTCATGCAAAATAAGCTGCCTATTAGACTCTGCCTAAATTTAATGGTTTTTTTTTTTTTTTTTTTTTTAAGGCTTCACAGCAGACAGCAAAGTGATATTCTGACACAGGGCTAATGCAACTCTACCGTTTTGGCCAAGTTTCACATATGGACCAAGCCAGAATGGAATATGAGGATATTACAATTGGGTTACATTCTCAGGGGCTAGTCACTTAGTCGAATGTGAAAAATTCAAATGCATTTGTAATCATTTGAAAACTTTTTAAAGATACAAAAAGACGTTTGGTTTGTTTTCCTAGCTAATTGGCTTGCAAATAATAAGTATGTATCTGTGTATTTTCTTCCAGGGTCTTTCTTCCCTGATTCCAAGCCCTCGGACACCGTTTTTAAAATAGTATTTTGGCTCGGATACCTAAACAGCTGCATCAACCCCATCATATACCCATGCTCGAGTCAAGAGTTTAAAAAGGCATTTCAGAATGTCTTGAAAATCCACTGTCTTCGCAGAAAGCAGTCTTCCAAACATACTCTGGGCTATACCCTCCATGCGCCCAGCCAGGCCCTGGAGGGGCAGCACAAGGACGTGGTACGCATTCCAGTGGGATCAGGAGAGACCTTCTATAAGATCTCCAAGAAGGATGGGGTCTGTGAATGGAAATTTTTCTCTTCCATGCCCCATGGATCTGCCAGGATTACAGTGCCCAAAGACCAATCAGCCTGCACCACAGCGCGGGTGAGAAGTAAAAGCTTTTTGCAGGTCTGCTGCTGCGTAGGGCCGTCGACCCCCAGCCTCGGAGAGAACCATCAAGTTCCTACCATTAAGATCCACACCATCTCCCTCAGTGAAAATGGGGAGGAAGTCTAGAGGACAGGAAAGGTCAGAAGTGGGGATAATCTTAGGTAACCACCTCACTTCCCACTCAGAAATCCAGTTCAGTTTCCTGGTTGACAAGACAGGACCATGAGACCAGGGGACAATCTGGGAGTGGGGGTAGGGGAGAAGCAGCGAGTAGGGTGCAGGGAAGAGGGAGGATTGCCGCACAACCAACCAGTCCAAAATGATGATTTTGCTGCAAATCCTTTCTTGGTCATCCTCTGAACCTGCTTTTTATGCCTGGCCCTTTCAACGAAAAATTCCGTGGGAAACAGAATTTCATAAACCATCCAAACGACTATAAATATAAGATTATGATTTCATCATGAATATTTTGAGCTCACACGCTAAGTTTGGAGCTATTTCTTGATGAAGTAGGGGGATTTTATTTTCAAGCTAAACTCACTGACAGCCACATTCAATATTTATGGAGACAGAGCCTGGAGAGGAAGAGTCTTCAGATGGTGGCTGATAACCAGGCAGATTAATTTTAGAGCAAATGTTCAAACTCCACCACTTCTGATACATCCAGTTTCTTGGCTTGGGTGAAACTTAATGAGATTTACATTTTGCTGCTCTTTGACTTAATACTGATCCCTAACCCCTTACGATGAGTGTGAAGGACACTCATTATGTCTCTGAATCTAAAGGAGGCAAGGTCTCTACTTTTGGATGTTGGAGAGTGTTGAAAGAGTCAATCAGATGAAGTATGACCTTTCCTGATAAAAAACAGTGGAGATAAGGGTCATAGTTTCAACTTAATTATTAGGAACAAAAATTCATTAAACAGTTCCAAGATCAGATGAAGTAAGGCTTATTCTGTAGCATATTTAAAGATCAAGATGTTGGGGTGGGTTGGGAGGGTGCTAATTTCATGCCAATACAGAGGCTGCCAAATTACTCTACAGCCTTTTTGACGCGGCCTAGACAGGGCTTGCTTGGCAAATCACTCACCATTCCAGAAGTCCATTGTGAAAATCCAGAGTTAATGATATTTTGAAAGGCACAGCTTGACTTCCATTTTCTCATCTGCTTTACTGTTGCATAATGAATGAGATTCAAGGTCCTGAATGCACCTTTGGCACGTTGGAATAAGCCATTTGTGATCCCAATACATCCTTCCTGGACTTCCAAAGATTCTAATGCTTAGCTTGGGACAGATCCTGACTGACCAATCAAAGAACTGTGTACAGCAGGTATTCCCAAACTGTTTTTAACATAAGTTCATTTATTCTGGTAAAAGTTCCAGTAGCCCACTCTCTTCATCTATTCCCACTTTCTACAAGAGCTTGGGGGACATGCTATATTTTTTGCTCATGTACACCAACTTTTGGTGAATCTTAGTAATTCAGGCTATTTACTAATGATGAAGATGGTGACTGTATGTAATCATTACACAATATGAGTTTAAAACCTTATTTTTATTTTTGGAATAATTCTTGACTAGAATCACTGGTCTAAAACTACTGAACATTTCAATGGCCCCATTCCCTGATTTGGGTAATATCCTCCAAGAATTCCAAAAGAGGTTGTAGCCCTATGTAACCTTTATAGGAAAGGTTGGTGGCCTCACCACCCTTTCCTTCTTACATCCCTTGCAATAAAATAATGACTTTCTTAAATTCTTCTAAAAGGAAAATCTCTTTGCACATTGAAATGCAGGGTAGGTTTTCATTTGGATTTGGGTTTTGTTGGTTGTGTTTGGACCTAGAATATTACTGCTTTCTGTAGCCCTTTTCTGGAGAGTGCCTTCTTGTTGGCCAGACAGATACTCTGCCTTGTGCTTATAACATGGATTATAGCACTGAGATGTTGGCTGGATTTTTAGACTCCTGCTATGAGATGACAATGAGTTTGTTTTTTATTTTTGTGGTCTGTCTGCATGTTCCATAATAGCTCTCCCAGGTGTGGGTGTCCTGTCATGGAGGCAAGCATCTAGGAAAGATTTGGATATGCAAACCTTGCTTGATAGGGGAGAGAAGTTTCATTGCTTAGAAGAGCTTTTTTCAGGATCTGACTAAGAAAACCATTCTCTGCCCTCCCCTCAATACATAGGAAGATCATTCCCATGGGAAGGACAGTAACAGTTCCTCTTCAGCAAAATATGGTTCCATTCTAGAGGTGATCTTTAAACACCTTTATAGACAAATTTAAATTTTAGCTATAGGAAAGCTTAGAAGCACCGGAAAATTAGTATTAATGACACTTTCAGTTAAAATAAACAGCCAGAAAATCTTTCGGTAATCAGATGAAAATAATGACCATTTTATCAGTGTAAAACTCTTCAGAAATAATTGGCTACTACACTATTCTCCAGCCCTACTCCCTCCAGGGAGACAAACTTTGACATTTTTTCCCTTTCCCATAACATGATATTGAGCATAAAAATACCGATTTCGTAAAAAATTGATAATGTCACCCACATAGTCAAAGTGTAATAAACAATATCCAAGTTATTTTTATACTCATGCACAAAAATCTCTGTACCTTTAAGCATGCCAAAAACTATCTAAAATTGTTACAGTTAAGCCACCGATTGTCATGTTTATACTCACATGCTCACTGCTTCTATCTGGAGTTTGAAGATTTTACCCAGAGTAACAGTAGTTTAAATGCCTTCTCTAATGTGTTATAGAGAAGGACATCATGCTTAGTAAAGTAGAGGGTCAGTGAAAAAGAGGAAGACCCTCACGATGGATAGACACAGGGGCTGCAACAATGGGCTCAAACACAGCAACAATTGTGAGGATGACAAAGGATCAGGCAGTGTTTCATTCTGTTATGCATAGGGTTGCTATGAATCAGAACCGACTTGACAGCACCTAACATGTTATAAAAAGAACCCTGATGGCGCAGTGGTTAAGTACTGGGTTGCTAACCAAAAGGTCGGTGGTTCGAACCCACGAGCTGCTCGACAGGAGAAAGATGTGGCAGTGTATTTCTGTAAAGATTACAGCCTTGGAAACCCTATGGGGCAGATTTACTCTGTCCTATAGGGTCGCTGTGAGTTGGAATCGACTCAATGGCAACGAAAATGTGTTATATAAAAAAGCAGTTGCTTTGGGATTGCCTAAGCATCACAAAATCAACATGACTTTATGGGATAGGCAAAATTTGCGTTTATTCAACAATTCAAATTGCATATATTAAAAGAGACCTTGAATCTCCTTATTCAAAGATTTCCCCAGACTATTGCAATTTAAAGGATTTCAAAGAGCATTTTACTTGTCACAATCAACTTTTCTTCCTTTTGCCTCTCTCATTGTCTCATTGTCTCATCCAAAACTGCTTCTGCCTGTTATCACTTAGTGTACACCAACGCTCTCCAAAACATTAAACATCTAACTCTCTCACCTACTCGGATTGCTCCGTCCATGGTATACAGTAGTGTTTGGGTGTCTTAGTTTCCTAGTACTGCTATAACAGAAATACCCCAAGTGGGTGGCTTTAACAAACAGAAATTTATTTTCTCATAGTTTAGGAGGCTACAAGTCTGAATTCAGGGCGCTGGCTCCAGGGGAAGTCTTTCTTTCTCTGTCGTCTCTGGGGGAAGGTCCTTGTTCCTTTGTTCCTTAGTGAACTTCCTGTGGTGTGGCAACTATCTTCAACCATCTCTGCTTGCTCGCTTACTTGTCCAAATCTGCTCTTTTTGCATCTCAAAGGTGATTGCCTTAAAACACACTCTACACTGATACAGTCTCTTAACAAAGAAAACCTATTCCCAAACGGGATTATAACCACAGGTGTAGGAGTTAGGATTTACAACACATATTTTGGAGGGACACAATTCAATCCATAACACTAGGTAAATAAATATTCTGTGAAAGCTTTTCTGTTAGATCCAGGCACCTGCAGGGCATTTTATATCCATTGTCTCTAAACCTCATAGCAACTCTACTATTTCTATTTTAGAGATGAAAAATCTGAGAATTAAGAGCAGTTAAGACTCATCCAAGGCCAAGGAGGAACAATGACTCGGACCTTGGTATCTCTTACTCTAAAGCCTGTACATTTTCCACAGCACCCCTACTTCACAAACAGTGGGGGTAAAAGTCCTCCAGGTAGGAGTTCAGTATGCTGAGGATATTAAACTATACCCAATTTTTTTTTAATATTTTGTGTCCTTGGGATTTGCCTCCCAGTGAATCTTGGTAAGTATACTGCTAAATCTCGATCCCAGCCAAACCTGAAGAGCAGGTCATAATTGGAAGGGTTTGGTGTCTACAATTCTATGTATCAGATGGCACCAGTTTTTTAGAGGATAATGGCCTGGCATGTTATGAAAGCCTCCCTAGAAGGGTAAACTATACCAAATGTACAGGATGGACATACAAAGAACAGAGAGCAACAGTTGGCCTAGAACAGCAACACCCAGCTGTGCCTGTGAAACACATTGTGTGGTATGTTGAAGTTTTGGATTATCGATCACAGCTAATGTGCTTGCCACTTTTACAAGTACATCCCTTTTAAAAATAAAAACAAATACAACATCACTTTCACTCACCTGTATTCCAGCATATTTGGGGGGATGTTGGAGACAGAAGGAACGGTAGGTATTTCACCAGGAATTGCACATAACCCAGAGAGTCTGTCAAGCGTGCGAATGTTCATGTTTAGCACCACAGGAAAACTGTTCAGAGTGCTGACCTCTAAGTAGCCTGAGATGCAGGCAATCTTTGAAAAGTTGTGGCATCCACTTGTTCCTGTATTCCTTTCACAAATGAAAGCTTCCTGTTTTGGGCATCTTGGTTCCCTCTAACCTCCCTTCAAAGTGAAACATCATGCAGATCTGGCCAGTAGGTTTCATAGTTTTGGCCAGGGAATGAGAACATTTTAGGGGCTTCTTGTTTGGACAGGTAATTGTTCCTTCTTTAATCACAGCTACTTAATCACAACTTGACAAACATTCTAAATTGCTCTGGGGCTGGTTCTGCTCACATTATGCTGCCAAAAAAGGATGCTATTTCTTTATATGAATACTTGTTGACTTAATTAAGGAGAGAACTCAGTTCATTGGCAAAAGGTACCCAAGCAGGTGGAAGATAAACTCTAAGAGCAAAA